ATAAAATCATATATAAAATATATAATCATATATAAAATTTTATATAATATATATTATATGTAATTATAAATATGTAAGTAAGATAATTTACATTATATTATATGTAATTATAAATATGTAAGTTCTGTATGAATTTATTCATACAGAGATGTGGAGGGTGAGAGGATTCACCAGAGACAGAGCTGGGAGCAGAACAGGCAGATAGAGGAAGTACACTGCTGAGGGGAGCAGCGGGCGGGTCAGGAGAGGTCTGCCGCGCCATGTGGTCACCTCCGGGGCAGGTGAGAATTGAACTCATGCGGAAGTGGCTTTAGCTCAGTGCTGTGCTTTAACCCGCTGTGCCACCAGGGAGGGCCCTAAATACAGATTTTTAATAATCTAAATTTTATATGAAAAAGCAAGGAATTACAAAAACTAAATGATTTTTGAAAAAGAATAAAAAAGAAGAAATAATTCCAGTTTTAAGAATTATTGTATGACTCCAATCATCAGAACTGTGTGATACTGGTCAGCGTTTAGACACACAGATCAGAGGCAAAGAGCACAAGGGCCTGCCCTGCTACATGCTTGAACTCAGTAGACTAGGACTGGGGGGTCTCATGCAGAACCAAGATGTCATAGGCCCATTCCAGCCTTCTGAGGCCTGCATCACCTCTCACTGTCCTCTCTTGCCACTCATGGAGAGAACCACGCCACCTCACATGCAGCAACGTTCTCCTGTGACCTTGCCATTTCTGAGGCACAGGAGTCCTTCCGTCATGCATCTGGTGAGCTCAATGAGGCCACATAAGGCCCATCTGTCTGGACTCACTCTCCGGCCACTCCTTCACCTGGGTCTTATGCTCACCTTTGAGTTTTGGCTCATGACATCTGTGCTCCCATCATTCCAGTGTTTGCAGAAAGAGGCACTCTCCTCCATGGACAAGGAATTTCAGAGGCACCAAAGTTCTACTGTCATCTCATGGCACTCTCTGAGGAGTGGGCATGGACAATTAGCTGCCTGTGTGGAGGAGGAAACGTCAGAATAAAAACAAGTAGATGGGTTAATATGTTTAAAATTGCATTGCCATTGTCATTATCACTGTTTCAAGCAATTGTCTCTTTTTTTCCCCCCAAAGATTTATTTATTTATGCATACAAGAATTGGGGTATAGGCTAGAGGTTGGGGGTGGGGTGAGAGGATTCACAGAGACAGAGTGGAGAGCAGAACAGGCTGAGTGATAAAGTACACTGCTGAGGGGAGTGGCAGGCAGGATCAAACTGAGGGGAGCAGCGGGATGAAGCTGCAGTGGCTGCGGATAGCTTCATGGTGTGGTGCTTAACTCCTTGAGCCACCCACAGGGAGGACTCCCACAGTTGTCTCTTTGTAAAGCAAAGGTAGTTGTTTTCCACTCCAGAGGCTGGCAGAGCCCACAGAAGAGGGCTGGAAACTGATTGCACAGGTAGGTTTGGAAGCCACTTCTTTCTTAGTGAGCTCACAACCCAGGACCCCAGGGATGTCACCTCAGTTTTCAGTTGGTTAACAAGTAGGAACTGCAACAGAAAAACCAAATGGCATCTTTACTGGGCACCTGTTGTGGGTAAGACATTATGGGCAGGGTCCTGTGCTAATGACATAGAGTGGAAGGGTCACACAATAAAGAAGCAGCAGAGATGATACAGTTCTGGGGGAGTGCACAGGGCAGAATGCAGAGCTGAGGATGAGTGGTGTCCATTTGCATCCTGTCTCTGCCACTGACCCTGAGTTGGTCATCTAGACTTTTTCTGAAACTCAGTTTCTTTCATTAACAAAAGGGGAATAATAACACCCACTCTTCCTATTTTGTGATCCATATAGAATGATGTGATCTTTGGAAACAATTTGAAAGTGGTACACATAGGGGCATACATAGCAGTTATTATTGTGTAGAACACTCAGAATCAAGGTTGTACCCTTGGCATAAACTTTGGGGGGATAGGAAGATGTAAATTTGTTTGTGTGTGTGTGTGTGTGGGGGGTGTTTCTGGACAATAAGCCTAAATAAAACAAGTCTTTGGGTGATGTATTTGGAGAGAGTGAAGAGACCAGGTAGCAGAGCTGAGAGAAGGAGATGGTGGGAGTATGTGGGGGTGGGATGGGGTGGGAATGGAGTGGGGGTGGCAGATTTTGAGGGTTGGCAGGGCCTGCTAATGAGTGGGGTTCTGTTGGTGCAGACAATAGGGAACTATTGCTGGTTCTTGAGCAGGGGAGACACCTGAAGAAAGTGGAGTGGTAGGAAAAGTGAGTCATAACCTCAGAGGCTGTCTTCATTGGTAACAATAAAGCATTTCCAAGCTCCATGAAACACTACCCCATGAAGCACTTACTTATCTGGATGTATTTGACCTTTTATGAAGAGACTCACTTCCTCTGGGCTCTTAAAGTTGTGCTTACTGGTTAGTATCTCGTCAGCGCTGTGCCAGCTCAAGCTTTCCTGGGCACATCCCTTATTTCCTTCCCAGTTGCCCCAATTCACAGAGGTCTCTCATTGTGAGCTCACTTAGGAGTCTCTGTTCAAGGAACACAGTGGTCCCCAGATCCTCATGTATAGCCAACTTTAAGCCCACAGACACCATAACATCAGGTCTCCTGCCTGGGGATGACCCTAACTCCACATGCACTGTGCATATTTGGGACATGTCAGTGTGCAGAAGCACTTGGACTTCTGTTTCTACTTGGTCTTTTCTTTTCTTTCTTTCTTTTTTTTTTTTTTTAAAGATTTGTTTATTTATTCATACAGAACTGGGGTATACAGGCCAGAGATGTGGAGGGTGAGAGGATTCACCAGAGATATAGTGGGGAGCAGATCAGGCTGACTGAGGAAGTACACTGCTGAGGGGAGCAGTGGGCGGGTCAGGAGGGTCTGCGGCACCATGTGGATCCCTTCTGAGGCAGGCAGTGATCAAACACATACGGTAAGCTTTTCAGTGCTGTGCTTTAACCTGTTGCACCACCAGGGAGGGCCCTCTACTGGGTCTTTTCTAATGTGTGTGTTTTACAGTCAACTCCTGGGAGAAGAGAAGAGGTGATATCAATGTGGGCAGCAGTTCTTAGCACAAACTGTGGCCAGGCTCCCTCTAAGCACGTTACACAAGATACTGAGTGCTTCATAAAAACCCATTGAGGTGGGTACTCTTATCCTTTCTATTTTACAGAAGCAGAGAGCTTGTAGAATCAGCCCACCGTCACACCACCAGAAAGCGGCCAGTCAGCATTCAGTCCCAGGCTCACTCTCATGACCACAAAGTCAGCCTGTCCTCACAGGACACACATAATTTACAAACACATAAGCAGTACACTAAGAAACTACAGCTATCATGGGCACCTGTTCAATATTTTTAACTGATAAGGTTTCATAATCAAATAATTAAGCCATAGTGGCAGGCGGGGTTGAGGCAAGGTCTACATCTTACTCTTGTTTCTGTTCCCCTCATCCAGATGCTAGGAGGCATCTGGTCCTAATGTAGCTGCTACTTCCAGAACCGTCTATTGGCGGCTAATCACAGTTAACATTTATCATTTATTGTCATGGGGCCTCCCTGGTGGCCTAGGGGTTAAGTCCTAGTGCTATCACCAGAAAGGCCTGAGTGAGTTCGATCCCCTGCCAGGGAGCTAACCCACATGGTGCAGCAGACCTCTTCTGTCTTGTCCTCTGCTCCCCTCAGCAGTGTGTTTCAGTACATCTGCCTGTTCTGTTCCTACTCCGTTTCTGGTGAGTCCTCTCACTCCTGCACCTCTGGCCTATACCCCAGTTCTTCTACACAAACACACACACACACAAACAATTCTTTAAAAAGAAAAAAGAACAAAACAAAAACAACTTGCCCTGTGCCAGGGACTCCCATACATACTTTTCACAGCTATCCTGAGCTATGCTCATTCCCATTTGGCAGATGAGAAAACTACGCAGCTTGACAAATTCCCAGAGTCTGGAACCTGAATACAAATTGTAGAATTCCATTGCTCCTTCTCTCACATTGGTGAATAAGCCCACAGAAAACAGCTTAGGGCAGTGTCTATGTATTAAAAACCATCAAGAAAGAGCAAGAGGGGGGGTCCTCCCTGGTGATGCAGCAGGTTAAAGCGGGGCACTGGGAAGCTAAGGCCACTGCAGCCTGAGTTCAATCCCTGCCCTGGAGGTGACCCACATGACACGGCAGACCCCTTCTGACCCGCCCGCTGCTCCCCTCAGCAGTGTACTTCGGCGATCTGCTTGTTCTGCTCCCCACTCTGTCTCTGGTGAAACCTCTCACCACCCCTACACCTCTGGCCTGTACCCCAGTTCTGTGCACATAAATAAATAAAATGTTTTAAAAAAAGAAAGAGCAAGAGGTAATTGTTCACTCCATTTTGTCAGCTGAATATTCCCTTTGCCAGGGACATCTGTGCTCCCATCAGTCCAGTGTTTCCAGAAAGAGGCACGGGGCATGTTCTCCTCAATGGACAAGGAATGACAGAGGCACCAAAGTTCTGCTGTGGTCCCATGGCACTCCCTGAGGAGCGGGCACGGGCAATTACCTGCTTATGTGCCCCACAGGCAAACTCCTGCCCAGCCTTTGGACCTCAGTTCAGAGGTGCCTCCTCCAGGAACTCTTCCTTCCCTCACACTGCAGTCAGTTGCTTCTGCCTGTGCTTCATGCCTAGTCATCCCGCTGGAGCTGGCGCTCCCGGAGGGCAGGCTGGGTCTCCCTCAAGGGGTACCCTAGGAAGGAGTCAGCTCAATAGTTTTCCGGGAGGGCTGGACAGGTGCCCATCCTTCAGCCCTAGGCTAGACTCTCCTATTTTCCTGGGTCTCCTTCTCCCCCTCCTTCTTCCTGCACACTACTCTCTCTTTCTGTCCTCTCTCCTTCCTCCCTCCACTCTCCTAGTCGCCTCCCCCCACCCTGTTTTTCCAAGCCGGGCGCCGGCCCCGGCCTCGAAGCTGCAGTTCCCCCGCTGGCCTACAGAGGGAGCCGCCGCGCCGCTCGCTGGTCCGCGCCTCTGCGGCGCGCGCTTCCTGTGAGGTCAGGTGGGAGGAAGCGGCCTGCAAGCCGCCCGCGGTGGACGTCGCCGAGGCCCGCGAGCCGCGCCCGCAGGTGAGTGTCCGGGGTCCGGGGCAAGGGGGCTGGGGCGCACCCCCTCCCCTCCGCCGAGCCTGGGGTCGGAGCTGGGCTGGGGGCCGGGGCCGCACCTCCTTGGCCGAGCCGCGGTCGGTCCGTGCTGCCCGCCGCCGGCGCTCCCAGGTGTGTCAGGTGCAGGGAGGGCGGGCGCCCTCGGCCGCCCGGCGGGGCAGTGTGACAGAGCACTCGGGGACTACGGAGAGCACCCCCTCCTTGGCTTTCCCCGGGGCCAGGCTTCAAATCGAGGACCCGCCCGTCCCAGGCTCCGGTTTGCCGCCAGAGAGCAGGGCCCTAACCCCGTTTGGGGTGTGTTCACGCGTGTTTTTTTAGAATTTAGATGAAAAATGTGGCCCAGGAAAGTAAGGCCCTTTCACAGACCCCGGAGAGGCATGGGAGACCCCGGAGAGGCCCCCTCCCCATCCCTCTCTGCCACCCAGCCCCGGGGCTCTCTTGGTCTGCCTGTAAGGCCTTTCCAGAGCAACAGCAGCGCCCCCCCATATTTTTTTTTGGGTGGGGGTTGGACCCTGCCCTCCTGTTAGCAAAGGAGGGGCTGGTGTTACCTGCCAGGAGGCTCAGGTGAGGGGTGTGCCTTCTGTAGGAAAGGTCAGCCCCCAGCGCGAGGCAACTGTGTGGCCACCAGTGTAATCTGTGGCTGGGCAGTGATCTGGGGTAACTGTGAAGTGGACTGGTCTCTCCTGGGGGTGCTTTTGAGGCGCCCTTTCAGAGTTTCTCGGCATTTGCTTTCTGAGGAAACACATCACTGGACCAATTTTTTTGTTGTTGAAGATTTATTTATTTATTTATATGTACAGAACTGGGGTATAGGCCACAGGTGCAGGGGAGGTGAGCGGATTCACCAGAGACAGAGTGGGGAGCAGAACGGGCGACTGATGAAGTCCACTGCTGAGGGGAGCAGGGGGCTGGTCAGGAGAGCTCTGCTGAACCATGTGAGTCACCCCCGGAGTGGGGGCTGGAACTCACACTGAGGCTAGCTTGTAGTGCTGTTCTTTAGCCCACTGCACCACCAGGGAGGGCCTGGACCAGTTTTTTTAACCCAAAGGAAATTGAGAGGCTGGGGATCCTGATGTCCTGGGTTCCCTAATTATTACCCAGAACAGGGCCTACAGTTAAGGTTTCTGGCTTCTAGCTCTTTCTGTGCAGCCCATAGATGTGTGGTCCCAAGCAAGCCTGTTAAGCCTTTCAGATCTCTGCTGTACCTGCCTCAGAGAAGTGTTGGAGGCATAAGCGGCTGTGTCTGGGCCACTGTAGTTCTCAAGGAATCTAAAAGGAGTAGCAGCGGTGTTATCGATAAGCCAAAGAAGAGGGATAGACACTCAGAGTGGCTAGCAAAAGAATCTTTACTGGGGCCCTCCCGGGTGAGGTTCACCAGTCTCAATGTTTGGGGCCAGAGAAGTAGCTCCTGGGCCAGAGTCTGGGGGGTTTTAAGGGCTTTCTGGGATTCAGTCAGGTATGTAGGAGATAGGGGCTGGGTGTAGCTCGGCAGAAGATGGGAGACAGCTGTTGGTTGTTTCAGATTCTAATCAGTCTGGTTCTGTGCTGCTGTCTCCAGTGTCAGTCGTAGATGAACGCAAGGTCAGGTCCTCGCCTCCCTTGGTTTCCAGGATCCCAGGTGCAGAGTGGGTGACCTTTCAGAATCCCCTTGATAGTTTTCTCAGTGGGCAGAATTTTGCCTGGCAAACACTTGTGGTTATTTCTCTCCTATTTAGCCATCAGATTCACACCTGCTCAGCATGAGCAACCAATGTGAGCATCCAGAATTGCATCCCTCCTCCCCAAGGAAGCAGGCACTTAATGCTGGTAAATTGTTTCCTCCAGGCTTTTTGAGGTCTGGGGAAAGGGTCAGCCCGCTGGGCACCGCGGCTCCAGGGAGGATGGTGCGGATCTTGGCCAATGGGGAAATTGTGCAGGATGACGACCCCCGTGTGAGGCCCACCACCTCTCCACGCAGTAACACGACCCGGCAGGTATGCGCCCAGTGTTGAGGGGGCAGCTGGCCTCCTGTCCTCCTACCTACTCCTTAGCGCAAGAAACTCTTGTTGACCTTTTCTAGCCCAGTGGGCTGCGCTGGGGACAGGGGGGTCAGGAAAACCTCAGTAGATTTACTGCCCACTCTCCTGCCCACCCCGTCTCTCCCTCCTCCCAGCAACCTTTCCAGACTTATAAACCTAAGGGTTCTCCCTTCCTTTAACCTGACTAGCAAATCCCACTGGAGGTTGCTCAGCATCATTGTTTTAAGAGTCTCTCGGAGGAGAGAGAAGCCAGAGAGAAGTAGAGAGCGCTGTGGCCACTCAAGGAGTGAGGGTGCTAACGTGCAAGCCACCCTCACCCATCCTCTCGTCTCTCTCCGGGGCACTTTCTGGCATGGCCTGGGGAAGAGGGACTGGCATTTCCGTGCTCTGCAAGCTTGTGACTCAGTAGTTGGGGTTCCTGTGGGTGGCCTCTGGCAATTATGGAGTAAGGGGGGTGTGGCCCTGGGTGGCTATGGGCCAGGGCAGGGTCCCCCCCGAGAGTTCCCTCCTGCCTGGCACCTCAACTCCCGTAAAGCGTACCCTGGATTCATTCATCTCTTTCTGTCTTCACCTTCCAGAGTTTTCTCAATAGGGGCCAAGGTACTCCCCTCGGGGGCCCCAACCCCCGCCAGCAGCAGGCGGGTGCCAGGCTGGCCGCTGCGCAGTCCCCCTTCAGTGACCTAAATCGGCAGCTGGTGAACATGGGCTTCCCCCAGTGGCATCTCGGGAACCACGCTGTGGAGCCGGTGACTTCCATCCTGCTCCTCTTCCTGCTCATGATGCTCGGCGTTCGTGGACTCCTGCTGGTGGGGCTCGTGTACCTGGTGTCCCACCTGAGCCAGCGGTGACCTCCTGGGGACAGGCGCATGGGAGAGGGAGTTGCTGGGCCTTGGCCGCAGCGCAGGGGCCGGGGCCAGGGTCTCGCGGTGCCTGGAAGGTGCTCAGAGATGTTTCCACATGTGCTAAGCGTGAGGCAGAGGGATCGTCTAGTCTAGCCTTTCCAAATACTTGGGTGGACCCCTTGTTCCCTTGTGTTTTTCGGTAGTGTTGGGCCTGCATTAAGCACAAGGTTGGAGCAAGAACAGGCTTCCCTTTTCGATTCTCTTCCAGTCCTTTTATTCCAAGAAGAAAGTCTCAGCTTGGTGCCAATATGTTCTAATGCTGAAGTACCCTGTTCCAGGGAGCAGGCTTTGGGCTTGGGACATGTGGAAGTTTCCAGACTTTTATAGCACCGTTTTGTTTTAATGGTCTATTTTTATGGGCTACCTTTTTATTTATGACAACTGGTACCGGCATTCTCATTATTGTGGTGGTATTTTCAATAAAGAAATTAAAAATGAATTACGGAAGGACCTTTTTTAAATAATTGCATGGCTGCACATAGAGCTAGAAGTCGTGGTGATAGCAGGCACAGGGGCCATTTGACCATGGAGGTGGCTTCTGAATTTACCTGAACAGGCTCAGGGAGCTGGGAGGGGGCTCAGGTGAAACCTGGGCTCGGGCCTCTTGTCCGCTGCCTGAATCACCTCTAGGTGCACATGGAGACGCTGGATTTCAGGGGCCGGCCTGCAGAGAATCCTCTGGCCACAGAGGCTGATGAGGCTGTGGGGGCGCCCAGGGCACAGGCCCAAGGTCTCCCTTGTGTGGGCTTTGGCACACCCCCCCTTGGAAAGCGGGGCCCGGGGCTGGCACTGAATGTTTAGTGCATGGAGCCCCTGCTTTGTGAGAGGGCATTTCAGCTTTGCCTGGTGAGTCCTGGGTGTAGTGTGCCAGGGGGCGGAGGTTGCATTGGGTCACTGAGGGTCCTGGGCCCACAGTGGACACAGGGTGAGAGGCCAGAGAGTGACTGGTGAGCTTGAAAGCTTCCCCTTACCTGAGACCAGGTTCGTACTCTCTTCTCAGAACCTCTATGAGCTTGGTTGTTTGGGGGAACAAACTGTTATGGGATGTTGTAGGCGAGGATGGGAGAGAATGAGAGTGTGTCTCTCCTGAGATTCTGCTCTGCTGATCCCAACAGTGCCCGCCCTCCCAGGCCCTGGGATCACTGTCGCTCTTGAGCGCCGTTGTCACAGACATTCCTGGGGGAGCTTTCTGGCTTTATTTCCTAGCACTGCTGGAACATGTGTCCCCTCTATGAAGGCCATGTAGCAGCTACTCTGGGACTTGGCTGAGGGGAGCTGGGTCCCAACCAGGCGCTCCCCCAAGGCATCTCCTTTCACCCTGGCATGCCTGTCACCTGCTGGCCCTGCCCTCAACTCCCGGGGGGCTGAAGCCCAACCCCCAGGAGGCCAGGGCGTTCCTGCATAGTACCCCTCTCCCTCATCATGTCTTTGGGGCCCGGTGTTCCCTTTCTTTTCTGTGTGCAGAACTGTAGGACTCTGGTGCAATCAGTCTGAAGTGGACCTCCATATAGAAAGTTCTCTTAAGGGATATAGTGCTCAGCCTCTCCAGCTTTGTACCTCATCTCTGGGAAGGGGTGCTGATACTGGCCCTCCTGCCTCGGGGGCCACTCACCGCAGGCATGGTAGGTCAGATGGACAGAGGGCATGGGCCGGAGGGACCGACCACCTCTGTCTTTTGCTGATGTTGCATCTTGGACCACAGCTCCTGCGCCGAGAGGCCACCGTGTTCTGCTCCAGGTGTCTGGGCGCAGGCCGGGGCAGCCCAGCCAGTTCCAGAAATGCAAGTGCTTCTCCACCTCCTGGAAGCGGAGGGCTTGCCGCAGGTCTCACTTCAGGGCTGGATGGGCGGCAAAGCGTGCGGGGTGCTCGTGCTCGGCTCTACTTGGCTCCGCACTAGCACTGACGTCATTTGTCACCAGCATCCCAGAACTTAAGTACCGACTCATTCACCTTTATTTCACTTCAGAGGACACTGCAGAGGAGCCAGGACTTGCTTGGGGTTCCCAGGGAGCTGGGAGAGGGTGTTAGGGTTCAAATACCTGAGACCCCTCTTCTATCATGCCTGTGGTTCTGTGCCCAGAAACTTGCCTGTGGTTCTTGCCTGTGGTTCTGTGCCCAGGCCCCATCCTGGACTTCTCAGGCATGCTGGAGGACGTGGCCCCAGGCTGTCTCTTATAGAGCCCTCTGGGTGATATTGATGGGGGGACAGCAAGGGGCGGGGGGAAGTAGAAGGGAAGTTTAGCCTCAAACTAGTATGTGTAGTCCAGAGAGGAGGGAAGTCAACTGTGCCCACACAGGGAGGCAGGAACCAGGCGGGCTTTACTGCCTGCAGCTCCACGGTGACCATTGGCTCTGAGGGCAGAGGTCATAGGGTGGGTGTGGGGCCTCTGGCATTAGCTGTGGGGCTGGGTGGCCTCTGTAGCTCCCAGCTCCGATCAGAGTCACTCCCTTCCCTGCATTCCTGAAGGCCTGAGTCGTCATTCCACATGGGACAAGGGGAGAAACCCAGTTACCCACAGAGCGTCCCTGAAGGGCTGCACAGAGGAGTGTGGTGGGGGTGAGGAGCTTTGCTGCAAACCGGATGGAGAGAGAAACCTCCAGCGTGTCTGCAGGGCAGACAGGGGAAGCCAAGCTTACTGGTGGTGCTGCTGCCAGGAGCAGTGAGGGGGAAGGAGCAGCGAGGGGAAGCTCAGGGGCAGGTCCAGCAAGGGCTTTGGTGGACTGTAGAGGAGGTGCGAGAGTGTGTGTGCGCGCGTGAGTGTGCGCGCGTGTGTGTGTGTGTGTGTGTGTGTGTGTGTGTGTGTGTGGCTGTGGGAGTGTCCCTGATCCTCTGGTTGGGGGGAAGGGGAGAATGAAACTGCTTGGTTTTAGGGACCGGAGCTTGGAGGAGGAAGTTGGAGCTACCCAAGATGAAGCCTGAGCTGTTAGAGCAACTGGCACACCCACGTGCTGAGGCACTGGGCTGGTCTGCACTGCGGGCCACCAGTTGTGTTCCTCTGGTGTGTGTGTGTTGGGTTTTCTGGCAGGGGTGGGAGGAGGAGGAGGCTGCAGGCAGTTCAATGCCTGGATTCAGGTTCCCACATCCAGAGACAGTTAACCGGTGGCCTTAGACCCACCTGCCCTCCCTGCCCCTCCCTGCCTCTCAAAGGGGTGGAGGATCACGTCCTTTAATTAAGGGGAAGTGCTTAGCAGCCCAGTACCTGGCCCAAGATCAACACTGTATAATGCTACTGTGTTCGCGAAGCACTAAGATTTACGTGATTTTCTTTAAAGCCACTCATTTTACTTAAATCTAGTGTAAGGAGAAAGTCTGTGTATTTTGCAGTTCAGTATTACTATTGTGAACAGAATTCCGGGGTTACCACTCATAGGGGGTATTCAAACAAGTACAATCAGGGTAGAGAAATAACGTGATTCTGTTTTATTAACTGCTGCTCTAGACCCAGGCTTTAAGCATGAAGCCTGCTTGCTTTGTAAGGAAGATGATTTGCTAGGATTGAGAAAGGTGTTCAAGACCCGCTAGCACCTGAGTCACCTCCATGGATTCCAAAGACTGAAGAGAAAGGGAATGACTTTCTCAGCATATGATTCAGAGCTGTGTTTGTAAATTGTTTATCGTCATCATGTATACCACGCCAAATCATTTCACAGGTAAAATAATCCAACTCTCGGGAAAAACTGTGATCCTGGGCAAGCTGTTTTAAAATATTGGCTTTGAAAGGGAAGACATTTGCATGGTTCCAAGATCAAGCAACATACAAATGTTTACAGAAAAAGCCCTCCTCCCCGTTCCCATACACCGGTGTACCTCCCCCACCCGACACCCTCCTGCCTGTTGTTCTTGGTGTCTTTTAAATCCTTCCAGAATTATTTGTGCCAATATGTGCAAACATGAATATACTAATTTTAAATGACACAAGGTTTGACTCCCAGGACCTTGCGCCTGTGACCCCAAACCAGTCCACAAGGCAGTTTCTCTAATGTGTGGGGACTCTGACAAAAAGCCCTCTACCTCTGGAGGGCATGAATTGGGGGGAGGGCTCCTTGGGTGGTGTAAACTTAGTTCTAGATCCTAAGTCAGTTCAGCAAATATCCTGTGTGCCAGGAGAGGTTGTGGGGAAAATAGTTTTGCAAGTCACAACTTGATTTATTTTCTGGGTTCCCTGTGCAACTGGATAGCATGCCTTTCCCGACTTAGGGGGGCTTTGTGTGGCTTAGCGAGGAGGTATGGCCTTACCTAGAACAAGGGATCCCCTTGAGTCATGCTGTACCCCAAGGTGAATCTGGAGGGTCTCTCCACAAGCTCTAATAGTCAGGAATGACACACACTCCCTCTCCTATTCAGACAAAGTCTGACTTTACAGAAGGCGCCTCTCTTTATGCCCTAAAGCTAGAAGCTGCCTCCTGCTGAGTATTGTCCCTAGTACCCTAATAAGCACTTAATGGTTACAAGTCTTGGCATTGCCATTGTCACTGTCACTCCCCCCCCCCCATTCCCTCACCCCATCATGATTTTGGCAAAAGTCTGGATTAAGGCAATCTAGGTAAGCAGCGAAGAGTGGCAGCCTCAGGCTTTCTTTAACTCTGAACTGGCTAATGAACTCCCATCCTCCAGGACCAGGACCAGGAACGGGTGCGTCGGGGGAAACTCTGCTAGTGTTGTCCCATGGCGCCACCTGGTGGAATCTGTGGGAATATGACCCATAGGCTGAGCCCCTTTATCAAACCATCCCCCTCCCGCCTGCCTGAGTGCCCCTCTCACCTAGCCTAGGCTTACACACCACCTTATATTTCAGCGCTATCAGAACTCAAGTTTCTGGTGGAGAGAGCATACGATACATTGGTGCCTTGGCTCCCGTCATCCCCTCCCAAAGAAAAAAAGATACCTGTCTTCCCCTTTCACACAGGGCAAACCTAAGGCTCCAACAGGTTAAAGTAACTCACCAAAAGCAGCCATCTGCTGGAAATCCCAGCACTGGGGGAGGCAGAGGGTGACCGGGGCTTCCCAGGAAAAGCCTCTGTCTCCAGGGAGGCTGGAGCCAGTCTTGGATAATCTCCCGTTTTTTGTGAGTGAGAAGTCTTAGGCTGGCTTCTTTTCTAGGTCAGGGTTGCTGTTGTGTTGTGAGGTGTGAGGTGGGCCCAAAGGGAAAGGCTTGCTCATTTTCTAAGACTGAGCTCTCTCGAGGTTGGAGAATCCCATGCAGTCCTACCCAGTACAGTGCCACCAGCTCCTCCACACTGGCCTGTCCACGCTGGCCTGTCCACACTGGCTTGGCTTCCTTTGGTAGATTCAATACTGTGACCCAGCTGTCATTTATGATGCTGTGTCCCTTAAATTTTTCATAGAAATCAAAAAGCAAGGGAGTGAGATCTCCCATTTGCCAGTTGTGTGCCAAGTTGTTTTCCATGCGTCAATTTC